ATATAAAAAGCCTCCATAAAAAAACCTATATATATCTCACTATCGAAAAAGACTATATTCTTAAATAAAGAATATATTTTTAATTTCAGAAGAGAATATCATCTAAAATCTTTAAGAAGATTTTTTAAGTATAAAATCTTCTACTTACGAGAATATAATTTTTTCGGTGTTAATATAACAGAAGTCATTAATTGACATATAATTTATTGTCGAAAGAAAAATATTATTTGACAAATAATAAAAATATCGAAGAAACAACATTGATTAGAAAATGTGCTTTGCGATATTAAAAATGTCATATCTGTAAAATTTGTGTTTTTCAAAATTTCCACGCACACGTGTCGCTTCTGATGCGCGAGCTTCTTTCGTTTTTTCACGCAGCATCCTCCTGCGTAAGCCAATTGTAGTCTGTGACACAAAACGGAGCATCGTTTTTCTTTTTGTTTGACGCAACAAGACACCGCTAATTTTAGCGGTCGCGCGTACTTCATAGTCGCCCTGGATCGCCCGAGCGCGTTTTCGCAGATATTCCCGTTTCATTCTAAGCGGGAATCGCCCGAAGGTCGCGAAGATGAAGATGCGACGCGCGTGCGATCTCATTTAAACGCTCGATTTGGTCTCGCGTGTGTTAAATACACGCTATACTGATATTTAATAAACGCTCTTTTTACAAATGTGCACATAATTCAAAAGCAAAAGCTTATTTTAAATGTTTTTAAACTGCGTTATCGCGGTTAGTAGTCTCATCATTGAAGAATTCTATTTTACGTTTGACCCAGAAACTCTCCGGAGAATTTACGTTCGTTGACGTGAAACAGAAACACCGTTCGTCAATTTTAAAGTGAAAACCGCGTGACGAACATGCGCGGTGGAGAAAAATTTAAATAATCAAAAAGTTTGACACTTTCTTGACAACACACGCGCAGAGAGATTTAGTGATCTTCTCCAACACAGTCTGCTTCGCTTTTTTTGTTTTTTTAATTTTGAACATAAATTATAATTTTAAATCTGGAATACTCGAGTTAAATTATTGCTTTTTTATCTTTTTTAATAAGATTTATACTGACACCTCAACTCGATCTTCGAACTTTAGAAGCTGTGGGGAAAAAAAATAGATCTCGTGTGTTTTTGAGAGAGAGAGAGAGAAAGAGAGAGCGATTTATTCTCCAGCTTGCATTCCCGAGCGGGCGGCAAAAAGAGGAAGGCGCCTACCACGTTAAGCGACGCGTCGTGACGCAAGAGTCCCGGATTCGCGGTCGCTATATTTAGGCCTGTGCCCGGGCCCCGGTCTGTTTTTAGTTGGTAACAGGTGGAAGTGTCGGGGAGAGCCGTACGTTCGCGGACGCGGCATAGCCGACGAGTCTTCGTCTGACTTTGACCGATTTACGCGAACCCCCCTATCGGCGGACTCATGGTACGTACCCCCCGATATCTCCCGACGATAATGACCTCGTAAGCCGGCCTCGTCGTCGCGGGCAATTGCGATTCCAGCGCCGGGACCTCGACGGATATAACCTCGTGTATTTGTGTCTCTTTACGATACTAGTTTTAATGGTCAAGCTCTGAAGTTCGGGACGAAGCTTTTGGAAAGTTATTGACAAATTATAAATTTTTTTTTTATTTACTTTAAAAGATATTTATATAGAGAAAATTAAAGTTACGAATATGTTATATTTCGCAAACCAAAATTTAATTTAAACACGACGTTCTGTGATTTATCAAATTTATTTATTGTTGCGATAAATTTATTTATTTATTGTGTATTTATATAAAAACAATATATTTGCTTAGTCAGATAAATGGGAAGTTAACTGCGGTTGTAGATCCTAATCTTAATGTGTGTGCTTTGACTCGGCGAAGTTACTAGATTTCATCGCGGAGAGAGTGTTTTGCCGATACTCTCGCGCGTCCGAGAATATCTTGACCTTAAAATCATGTGAAAACCGGGTTTGACACGTTTAACCCAGTTTTGTGCGGATCTCTGTGGGACGCTCGGAAAAGAGAGAACTCGTCAAGGATTTTCTTTAAAAACACACATATCGCATCACGTCACGTGTATTATAACGAAGAAAATAAGAAAATGGCCGCCGAAAATGTTGCCGAAGAGCCGCATTCTTGTCGCGTGCGTAACGGAGAGATATCGGGGTTGAGACGACGCAGCAGCGCCGGAAGAAAAATGAAGAAGACGTAGGCGGTATATAACGACGAGGTGCACGACGCGGTAGAGAGAGAGAGAGGGAGGTGAATTACATCCCCACATCCGCGTGGGTAATCTAGATGGCTTCTAAAAATATAATATGGCGCGGTCAGGCAAATCATCTGGGACGTGGGTTCGAAAACTGAAATACGCGCCTTGCATCGTCGAGATATTTCGCGATTGACTCCGGGTAACCGGGTTAATTGTCGCGGAAATATTTTATAATTGAAAAGTCAATCGCGCGAGAAAAAATTCGATCGCAAAATATTTTGAGTCACGAGTGCGCGCTTATTTATTTAAAAGCGAGAGATGCGCGAACGACATAAACATCGGTATAAACATTGACGTTTTATCAAGTCACATTAATATTTATAAATAAATATTAAATACGTACTTGAAATTTTTTTAATAGAAAATTAATATTACTTATTGTATGATTATAAATATTTTGTTATTTTACATTTCGTGATTTATTGTGTGAAAAACAAAAATGTACGCGTGTGTGTGTGTGTGTGTGCGTCTATTGCAGATATGTCAGTGCGTCATTGTTTGAATGCGGAAGACAACGTGATGGGAGGAATTAAATAATCAAAAAGTTTGGCACTTTCTTCGCCAACACGTGTAGAGATTTAGACGATCTCTTCTCCAACACGGTTCAACGGGGGATTACAGTTTACAACTGCGCTGCGCGAGAGCACTTCCACCTGTCGTCCTAGCATTCTTGGCTGCAAATCGCGCGCCACGCGACCTCGTAACAGAGCCAAGCTTGACATAATACGGCTCGATTAAATAACAATGCACATCGCATACGTATCTCGTTAAAAAATGCCCATCTCAAAAATCACAGTACAAAAATAAAAGTATTAGTACACAGTACACAAATAAAAATTATCTGTCGTCCGCAAAGTTCAATTGGCTAAAATTACGACTCGGTTTTCTATTTTTATAGCGAATATAAAAACGCTATATAAAGTGAACGTTTCAAAAAAACAAGAAGAAAATAAATTAGTTTTTTTGTCAATTATTTTGCAATCAGTTTTTTTTTTCAATTTTTCAGATTTCGATAAAGAAAAAAATCATTGAATTCTTGTTGTTGCTGAACATCTTACGAAAAAAGCAATGTCAATCGCGACAATTAACACGTGATGTGATTACCGATTATTTCCGAGGGAGAATAAAACCGTGCTTGTGCGCTTTGATGTAGCGTGCTCGTATCTCTGTATGCAGAGATGTTTAGAAAGCGAAGTGACATTAAAGACTCCGCCAGGTGGGGTCAAACGCGCGAGAGAATCTTCTAAGTGCACACATTTCTTTGGATTTCCGGAGGCCTCGCGTGACTCCGGTTAAAAGCCCGCGCGAGATCCGCGCGTGACCGTTCCGCAAGGGGAGCGTCGCGCAAGGGAAAAACTTTTTTGCATCACATCGCGATATTAATACCGGAAACTTCGGCGAATCGGAGAAAGAAAGAACACCGGGCCGCACGTTACGCGCGGGCGAAATACGAGAACGAGAGCGCAAAGCGCGGGAAAGTAGTAAGCGTCCGCTCGCGTCAGACAACACCGTTCAAGCAGCCCGCGCGCGGAGGACATCGCGTGATTATCGCGCAGATTTCGTTTCACCCTTGCCTTCGCTCGATATCTTCGCGTTTGTTTAAAGGAATTGTTGTCGCGTTTTTCGCGAGCTTTATATTTGACATAATTGTTCACTTTTTAAACAAGAATATTTATTACATATTCGTATTTATGCACGTATTTTCCTTAAGAACAGAAAGTTAAATTTATTTCGAAGTATATATGTGTATACATATATATATATATATATTTAAGCACATTCTCTGCACAACATCCTGCAAAACGGCTCTTACAATTTATTTCATTCATTCACCGAAAAAATTATATTCTTGTAAGTAGAAGATTTTATACTTAAAAAATCTTCTTAAAGATTTTAGATGATATTCTCTTCTGAAATTAAAAATATATTCTTTATATTTAAGAATATATTCTTAATTTAAGAATATAGTATTTTTCGCGCGATAGTGAGATATATATATATGTTTTATATATAGAGGCTTTTTATATTTTAATCAGTATATATTCTTATCAATATTACTATTTAGAGGATTTTCCTCTTAAAATAAGAAATTCTTCTTGGCGCCTATTTTAGTATAAAATATACTTAAAGTGAGTGGGATATCCTCAAAACAAGAATACAATTTTTTCGGTGTACGTGTATATATATATATATATACACCGAAAAAATTATATTCTTGTAAGTAGAATATTTTATACTTAAAAAATCTTCTTAAAGATTTTGGATGATATTCTTCTGAAATTAAGAATATATTCTTTATTTAAGAATATAGTCTTTTTTGATAGTGAGATGTATATATGTTTTTCTATAGAGTGAGATATATATATGTTTTTCTTTTTATATTCTAATCAGTATATATTCTTATCAATATTACTATTTAGAAGATTTTCCTCTTAAAATAAGAAATTCTTCTTGGCGCCTATTTTAGTATAAAATATACATAAGTAAGTGAGATATCCTCAAAACAAGAATACAATTTTTTCGGTGTTAGTTTAAAGACTCCTGAGTCCGAAGAATCTTCTTCTTGTTATTATTAAGTTAAATTTATTTTTTTTATTTATTTCACTTCGTCAAAGTTTTCGAGAAAAATCAGAGAGAGAGAGAGAGCTTCGCGTCAAGACTGTCTGACAGTTCAGACTTCGAGCGAAGTCACGTTGAAAGCACGTTGTGAATATTTAGAAACAAACGAAATAAATTTGAAATCTGAAATCTTCGCCCGTGACACATAGATCCGATATTATTTTCACAGTAACCGTTAAATTTGATCTCGGAGCGCGATCCGAAAGTTTTGTTGCGGCGTTCCCAATTCGGTCGCACGTTGGCTGGCACTTGCGGTGACGTGCCCTACAATATTAGCAAGCCCGTGTCAATCTAGAACCGCGGTTCGGTTGCGAGAGAATCAAATTTTATACGAAATCTTTTTTATATTATATTTTTAGAGACAGTCTACCCTCACAAAAAAAAATACGATACGTCGACAAAGTAATTTTATTTTTTTTTTTTAACACAAAAGAGAGAGAAACGAGATTTGCGAAATAAAAATAAGCCGCGCAAAAAAAAATACCGTTGACGACGACGAGAAAAACAAAAAGAATGACAAAAATCGAGTCGAAAGATCGAGTCGCAATTCGAGACATTCTTTCGAGATTGATGCAAGGCAAATAATTGTTGTTTGAGTTTTATATCAGCGGAAAGGAAACGGCCTATACGGAGATTCGTGCGTCGCTCTTGGCGGATCGCGTGGATCGGCTATTCTCGTATCGACGGTATAAATACGGCGGTCGTGCGCGAGGCGCGCGCATAGTTACATAATCTTTAAACAAATTCTTTGCCAAATTATTATAAACAAAATCCGCCACACTTCTCTCGCGCGGACGCGCGATTGGCATAAAGCGCGACTGCGAGGGTTGGTCGCGGGCGCGACGACGCGCTTCGTAGCCTCAAAATTGGTATTGCAATAAAAAGGAAAGCCGAGACGACACGACAACGACGCGGGAGCGCGTCGGCCATTGCCAAATCGCTTCCACGAAATTAGAATACGTCGGAGGCGGCGGAGGCGGCGAAGAGATTACGGACGCCGAAGAAGAAAATCGGGACCGATAAATAATTCCGACGTTAACAAGGAGAACGCGTTTGTAATCGTCGTCTCAGAGGGAGTGAAGATATTTCTCTCTTAAAAACCGAACGTTCAATTCGAAATGACTGTACGGTGAGACCATCGTCTATTAATAATTTTCGACGATTTATGTTGCGAATTTCTAAATCGTTCGACGGAAAATGCGCAGCGCGTACGAGATTGTTTTCGCCCCCGCGATCAATAATATAAACAATTAAATGACGTGTATATATATATATATATATATATATATTACGCAATAACGCGGGAGAAAGGTGAAAGTTCGTGTGCTTTGATAATGTACGTGATTGTATTCGATTTTAAACATACAGCTGTCACACACACACACACACACACACACACACACAAAGCGAATCGTCATTTTAAACGGTAACAGATAGCAATTTGATCCGCACGCAAAGATATTGCGCTAAACATGAGATCACGAACGAGGTCGTGATTACGCGTAAATGCAAACGGCACGTTCTCTCAACGGCAAGAACATTATCCTACGTTAGGTAACGTTTGAAAGTCAGAAAAGAAAATGAAATTTTGAATTTCGAAATCAAGTCGCGATTTAAATTACAAAAATTTATCTCGTTAAAAGCTTTTTAACAAAAATTGCAACAATTAAGTAACTTCATAATCGACAATCTTCTCTTGTTTACATATTGTTTATCATATGTCAGTGTGTTATATGCGCGTACTGAGATATTAATTAATGAAATGATGATTAATCGACGTCCCCACATCTCTGTTTCACGGATCTGTTTCGAGTCCTCGATGTGTTAAACGACGGCGGTTAGCTCGCAAACAAATAAATTAAAACACACACACTTACGAACGCACACGTGAAAAAGCGGAAGAGAGAATAGAAGAAATGGATCAGCAAGAGACAGAGAACAGCGCTGGTCGTTGGTTAAAAAACGATGATTAACACGCGTGTCTCCGCGTGCGTAGTTAGTGGAGAAGAGCAATGTTCCTACTAATGTGTACGTGCGACGCAGCTCGGCGTCCGACCAGACGGTTTCTTCCTTCACTTGTCGCACAGAATAGAACGTGTAATAAAGGATATAATGCGGTCGCTTACGGTTGAAAACCGCGCGGTTTTCGAGGGAAATCCCCTTAGCGATCCTCCCTTCGATGCACTCGCGATGGCGCTTGCGTCGCGCGCCCTTTCGCCACCCCATTTCTCCGATCTTTCTCTCTCTCTCTCTCTCTCGATCCATCGCGATGTTTCTCATCGTCTCAAACCTTTCTTACGCGATGTTCATTTCCCTCTTTCTTTCTCGAGAAAAAAATTCTGCGACTCCCGATCGAAAAAAGAGACGAAAGAAAGGCTTGTTGCAGAGATCTTTACCTAAGTATTTTTCGGGCGACCGTTCGGTTCGGGGATTGGACCTTAAACTGAACGACTGCCGCCAAAAGTGTGGACTTAGTATAGTCGCCGATGGTGAACACGGTGGCGCCGATCTGGCGACGGGATTCGACAATAAAGCCGCGCGACATTTATGGCGCAACCCCCCCGCCAGCGAGGATGCGATTGGTCGGAGCGCACGCGCGCGCGCGCGGATCTTGTCTTGTTGGTAGTTTGGTGTAGGTGAGGAAAAGACGGAGGAAAAGAAGAGAGAAAATTATATATGCGCCGCGCGATTTCCAACCGACTATCCTTCAGACGCGCTCGGTGCTTGCAACAGCAGCGATGCGAGCTGCATCGCTGTGCTGTTGCAGCACTCGAGAGACTGCGTATTTAGGATTTACGATACGCTTGTATACAAGAGAGGTGCGTCGTGTGTAGCTTTATTCTCGGGGAAATATGCGTTAGGAGATGAAATTCCCGGACAGAGAGAGAGAGAGAGAGCGGCGCAGAAAACACAGCGGCGCGCCGCTTATGTAATGTTGAATTGCACAAGTTTATGTTTTCTGCGCCGGACGCTTGACGGATTATGTGGTTTCCTTCTCTATTTTCGCTCTCTCTTTCTCTCTTATTTCTTAATTTTTATATTCAGCATATTATTTTTCATATTTTATTCTCAATGTCATGTTATATTTTATATTCATCTATTTCTCATACTCATTTTTCTTATTTTTCTTATTTTTATTTTATTTTGTATGTACTTTTATTTTTTTATTTTTTTATTTATTTTTTATTGAGTTTGTAGTTATTTTATGTTTGTTAAGTTGCGCTTGAGGGGACCTGTCCCAGAGCGCCTAAAAAATAAAGCATCAATCAATCAATCAATCAATCTCTCTTTCTCTGTCTTGTATGAATTTACGAGAGTGCATTTATATGCTATTTCAAAATTTATAAAAATTGATTATATTGTTTTTTAAACACAATTAATTAACAGCAAAAATTCGTCTTTTTTTTAAGACTTGCATCAACTTGCGTCAACTTCGATATCTGTTTTGGTATTTCGTCTTCGACGTAAAAATCAGTGTTGCAAACATTAATTCTCTGTTGGAACAAGCAATGATTCGGTTTAACGCGCGAGAGAGAGAGAGAGAGATGAGCTGTGCAGTGCTCGTAATGCAAATGCGTCGTTACGTACTACGTGCACGTGTCTTTATGCGTTGCGTCAGCTCACACAAAAGAGGGGCGTCGCTCAATTTCCGGAGTAGCGCGTCGGAGAGCGGACTGTAAATCAACGTCTAATGCACTTTATATTAGCGGTTTATTTTTTCCGCGACGCGCAGACTGCATGTGTGTGTGTGTGTGACGAGATATCGGTACTTATTGCGCCTCGTCTTGCCAGAAGCCGTGAAAGTCGTCGATTTACGAAAGCGAATCACGCGGAGAGCAGGCGTATAATCGCTACACCGAAAAAATGGTATTCTTGTTTTGAGGATATCCCACTTACTTTAAGTATATTTTATACTAAAATAGGCNTTTGAGGATATCCCACTTACTTTAAGTATATTTTATACTAAAATAGGCGCCAAGAAGAGTTTCTTATTTTAAGAGGAAAATCCTCTAAATATAGTAATATTGATAAGAATATATACTGATTAGAATATAAAAAGCCTCTATAGAAAAACATATATATATCTCACTGTCGAAAAAGACTATATTAAGAACTTAAATTAAGAATATATTCTTAATAAAGAAATATATAAATAAGAATATATTCTTAATTTCAGAAGAATATCATCTAAAATCTTTAAGTAGATTTTTTAAGTATAAAATCTACTTATAAGAATATAATTTTTTCGGCGTATAGTTACACTCGCGCTTGCATCGTGAGATTTGTAAAAACTCACGCAAACTCACGCCGATCCCAAACACACACGTTTCGATTTTTTCAACGAGGTGGGAGAATCCCAAAATTTGCAATTGTGAAAAAACACACTGCACACAATTTTAGACAGAAAATTTAAATAGCAAAAACATGTATCGGCTAATTTTTTTTATCTCACGTAGATTTTGAGGCGCAAATTGAGCCAATCAGAGATTTATAGTCGCAAATTGATCGAACACCTTGTTCAAGTGTGATTCATAACTGCGCGCGGATGCGATTCTAAAAAAGGCGGTTCGATTGCTCAATCGCGCGGTCATGCGCCACGGTTTACGTTTCCTCGTCAATGAAAGTGCCCTTGATATATTTTTGTTCCCCTTGAAACACTCCCCGTGTGTGTGTGTGTGTGTGCGCGCGCGCGTTGTGTGATTTGGTACATCATATATTTTCACGAAATTTTCTTCAATTTTCTCTCATCTTTTTTCGAAAGAAATTAGACCGGGTGATGAGTTTCCTTACACGCGGCAAGACACGTCGAAGTTGATGAACAAAATTTCGCTTCGAACTTTGTTCGAAATCGCGCGCGATTGTCAGCGCGATTTATCGAGCTGTCAAACTCGAGAAGTAGGTATGAATAATCGATGCCCACACTCGACGTTTGCGTTTATAACGTACGACGTAGGTCGATCTTTAAAACCTACGTCATTCAAAGAGATCGTATCCTCAGAACCTCAAAAGAACGTGTGCAAAAATCCGAGAAAAGACAGCCTTGCGTCAAGAACACAAACGTCAATTCCGAGAGAGCTGACGTTCTCGAAACGTCATTGTCTCAAATCGCATTCTCTTTCTGGGGGGAATTTTCTCTTTCTCGTTTCGTTACGCACACATATGTTGATCATCATCATCGTTCATCAACGAACGCTCTGTGTGTGTTATGCAAAATTGATTCGACTTCAACTATCCAACCGTGACATTCCGCGGCGCGCGCGAACACAACCGCGCGCGCGCGCGCTCTTCCCTTCGAGGAGGTAGTAGCACGTTCGCAAAAGGCCTATCGCAGAGCTTCGCTCTCGGCGCGAATGTACTAACAAGGACGGGAAGAAAGGTGATCTTTTCGTTTTTGGCACTACCCCGGTCATTCGCGCGCGGCCTCCTAGCACACATGTACCGGGTGCGCTAAATGCAGCGCTATTTTCGTGCCGCGCTTGTGTGTTGTCGCGGGCGAACGGCTCGTCGGTGCTCCAGGTGAAGAGGGCTCCGTATTTATTTTCAATTCGGCCACGGCCAGAGGCGACGCGCGCACACACACACATACAGACGAATGTTAATCGTCATCCAGGATGCGTCTCGCGAGTGACACACGGGTCGGCTATGCCGCCTTCGAGTTGTTGTTTCCGCGAGTCGAAACCCGTTTTCTTGTTCGATGGGCGCAAATCTTTACCGTCAAACCCTTTCCCAGTTGTGGAATTAGTTCGGCAAAATTCGGGCCGAATGAAGTTTTTCGCGAAACGAGCCAAAATGATATTCTTTTTGTTTTTTTTTTTCACGTTTGTCCTATAATCGGTATCGCGAGTCTGATACTCGTGATTTGTTTCGTCCGCAATCGGCACCACGTGTCTGACTTGCTGTCATATGGAAAGAGAAATATATTATGATAGAGGAAAGTTAACGTATCAATTGCGAAAATAGTAGCGTATTATTATTATTCAATAGACGATTGTTAATTACACTCGCCCTAGGATAAACCGAAAAAATTATATTCTTGTAAGTAGAAGATTTTATACTNAAAAAATCTTCTTAAAGATTTTAAATGATATTCTCTTCTGAAATTAAGAATGTATTCTTTATTTAAGAACATATTCTTAATTTAAGAATTATAGTCTTTTTCGATAGTGAGATATATATGTTTTTCTATAGAGGCTTTTTATATTCTAATCAGTATATATTCTTATCAATATTACTATTTAGAGGATTTTCCTCTTAAAATAAGAAATTCTTCTTGGCGCCTATTTTAGTATAAAATATAC